GTTACGTAAAAAAAAAAATGTATCTTATTTTTCACGTGTGGTCTATCCCATGTGTTAATTAAATAGCTTGAATTAACATCACATTCCACAGATATTCATGAAGTAATTACATATACTTTTAGAAACAATACTTGCAAATAAAGTTTTAGTGCTTGCTCATTGATTTTCAGGTTTTGATGTTTAATTGTTAAAATATGTTGTCGAACTAACACTCCCATATAGTTTTGTAACTCATCACATTCTTTCCGATCGCTTGGAATTTATATTTAAACTTGATATTTATTTATTTAAAGAATTTTTTGTCCTTAGAACTCTTTTTTTTTTTTTTTTTTTTTGCCCATGTTTGTTGCAACTCAAATCTAACCATTCAATTCAAACCATATTTTAGAATTTAAATTAATGTTTGGTAGAGAACTAAATAAGAATAATTCAAATCATCGACAATGGTTCAAACTTTAAACTCTTGATTTTAGAATTTACCTTCCCCTAAATTCACACAATTCAAATTGTTTTCTATGGTGAAAATAATTTGGATACTACTTTTTCTCTCACCTTAACTTTAAATTTAAACATGTCATAACTTCTTTGTTTCAATTCCGATTGAGATGATTTTTTTTTTCAATGTGTTCACAATGAAGAGATGAACAAATCCTCATCTATATTGCATATTTTTTAATGTCATTTACAATGAGGTTTTATAAGATCTGTTACAAAACTCTAATGATACTTTTCAACACTTTATCCAAACACAATTCAGATTTTATTCTTAATTCAAATTATAATTTATTTGCGTATCTAAACACCGGTTTGAATCACAATTTAAATCACCACAATTCAAACCAAATCAAACAATCCGAATGGTGAATCAAACAAGGCTTTGTTCATTAACATTTCTGTTAGGACTTTAGTTGGTAATTTGTTGGCATTGGTTGTAAAAATTCAAAAACAGGTATTTTTGGCTACTGGCGTTTATGGAGAAGATCGGATGTGTTTTTGGTTGCTTGATTGCTTCAAATATGAAATGTTCTTTTCTTGATAAAAATTAATTTTTGAAAGGAAATATCCTAGAAGATTGGGGATTAATGGAAGGAAGTATCCTAGAAGATTTGGGAGAAATGGAAAGTACTGCATCAATTTTTGGAGCATAAATGGAATGTTGACTTTTGGGGATTAATGGAATTCTTGTATGGAAGAATTTGTTGGTGGAATATTATCTTAATTCAGGGTCAACGTGGGATTTGTGGATGAATGGCCGGTGGTGGTTCTTTGGACAAGGTGCTGCTATATCTTTATATACACCATGCCAATGAACGTGTGAGGTGTGCTTGGAAGAGAAAATTGAGCTTTGAATTTTATGTTTTTAAAAAGCAATTAAAAGGCCATATTATGGGGCATGGGTTTTAGAGATATATTTTTCAAAAAAAGTCTGTGAGATTGTGCTTTTGAGTGTGAAAATATTCTGTAAAAAGAGCTGCTTTGATGTTATTTAAAGAAAATAGAAAAAGGTGGTTCTTCGGGAGGAGGACGTATTGCTTTCGGGAGAAAATTTTCAAAGACGAGTGGTGCTCGCTAGACAATGTCTCTAAGAAGATTCTACACAGTGGCGACAACATCAATGAGGGAGTCTTTGAGTGTGTAAGACCGATTGGTGTTTGTAATCTCTTTATCTTTGTGGATTGTTTATTGTCTAGACGTGACCCCGCAGATGTAAGTGTGCACACCAAACTGCGATATCATTTTTGATATTTTTTAGTTTTCCCCTGCATTACTTTTTGTTTATGCACGTTTTAAATTATCTGTCCATTGATCATCTCAGAACTTAATAGTTAATTACATGTGTTGCTAAAAGTGTTATAAAACTCTTTGTAACACCAGTGTGAAAACAGACCTTACAATTTCTCTTCTCTTACCATCATTATTCGGATTGAATTTCTCGATCTCCTGACACTCCCAACATCGGAAGACGATGACGCATCATCCACATCTCTCTTACGTTCCAAGGGTTGTCAATGAAAGGCATCCCCTTAAAAATGAGCGAAACCAACATTAAATTCTCACGCAAACACATTATCAAATAATGGATGAAGCTTAACACATAGGGCAACCATTCTCGGAACATCTTTAAAGTTTAGGGGCATTTGAACTGCTTTTCAAAATTCTTAACGGATATTTTGAGACAACGAAAAAGGTCGTGGGGAATTTTTGAAAAGTTTCCCTATATTCTATGATCATGTGGAAATTGAAACGTCTTAATTCCTCTATCTTATCAATGTGTCAATCTATTGTACCTTTAAAAGTTGTTTAAAAATTAAGCCAATGTGATATATAAATACATTAGTTGGACAAGAACTATGACATCAAAAGTAAGCAAGATATTTGAATCTCTTTTTTTTTTTCTTTTTTTTTTTTTCATGTGATGGTCATGTTTTATCTAGATAATCAGTAGTTAATCGACAATGACTTATTCCCAACTGGCCACGTGGAAACCTCATACATAGAAAGTCGGAAACAAATCATTGAACAAAAGATGTCACATGTATATTGGTCAACTAGCTGGTTCACATTTTGAGAAAAGCTGCGCTTATATATTGCAGTCATTTTCCAACCAAAAGTAATCCGGTAGGTTTCCATTTAGGGTCAACATATCTATAAACACCTTTGAGCCTAACCCTACTTGTTTGGATCAATGCCTGTAACCAATTATATGACGGTAAAACCTGGCTTTAGAAGGCTTTCAAACTCAAATTATGACATGGAAGACAAAATGTTAATGGAAGTATTGTTTAGGTTTTTGTACTAAAGTAGTTGGCACTTAGACATTGTATTCGGCAACAACAATAATAAGATAACAAAAAGTTTGCAATTATATATGATCAAAAATTTCGGACTAACACACATTCCCTTGTTTTTGGTAGGCTTGTTGAATGTAACTTTGGTTACTATGGTCTCGTTCATTTCACCGATTCAAGTTTTTAATTTTAGGTTTTTATAGTAAAAAATTCTTAAAAAAATGTCACATCTAACTTTTTTTTTTATTACAGTGAAAAGCTCTAAAAAAATATTATATGTCTAACTCAAATTAAAAATTCGAATCCGTAAAATTAACGAGCCTATATTTCCTTGTCTTGTGGGGGTCTAGATCCTATTATATAGGCGTGTCCTTTATAGGAAGAAACTTGACTTTCCATCAGGGCCTAGCCTTTGAATTGTGGTTAATGCCTACCCTAAAATGACCTTTGATTTAGGCCAAGGACGAAAGTACATACGGAGCTTAATTTACTTTTGGAACTTTTTTTTTTTTTGGACTAACATTGTCTCTGCCCCCTTGGAAAAAAGGAGTTTTGACGTACATTGTTTATTGGTCATTAACTAGTTCTAGATACCACGCAGCACAAGTTTTTCTTCATTTTCAAACAATGATTGCTAGGGTATTTTAGTTTGGTAATAACGCACACTGTCGAAAAAGTTAGTCGGAGTTAAACTTAGAGATGATTCGGTGACATTAAGCTGTTATTTATTTCACTGATTCGAGTTTTTAATTTTAGATTTTTACAGTTAAAAGTTATCAGAAAATGTCATATCTAACTTTTTTTGTTATAGTTAAAAACTTTTAAAAAAAATGTCACATTTCAACTCAAATTGAAAACTCGAATTCACGAAACAAACGAGGCCTAAATGTGAGTTCAAATTAGAGTAGTTTGAATCTTTAGATTTGAACTATGTAGGTTTTGAATTGTGAGATTTGAATTTAGAATTTAAACCATAAATCTTTAGGTTTGAACTACGTAAAGTTTTGAATTGTGAGATTTGAATTTAGAGTTTAAACCATAAATCTTTAGGTTCAAACTATATGTGGTTTGAACTTAAGGTTCAAACCGGCTAAAACTAAAGGAAATGGTGGTTTTATTTCTTAGGGTTCAACATGATTAAAACATCATATCAGGGTTATCTTTTTTTAAAATTAAATATTAGTTTTGTTAAACTATTTTTTACTTTTTGTAAACCAATATTGATTTTAACCTGAACCACAGTTCTGAGAATTTTTCTTCTGTTTATTAACAATAAAGTAACACCAAGTCATGAGCTTATTATTCTAGATCAAAACATTTATAGGATTCTCTTTTTTTTTTCCGACCTCTAAGTCCTTCTGTGGCAACCTAGGAGCATTAAAAAAAAAAAAAAAGATAAGACTGAAGTTCCCTAGGTTTTAGCATAACAGCCCCCAAACTATTACCTTAATGGTAGAGAGCCCCATCACAACACCATAGAATGTGAGTTGGCAAAACTATAATTACAAATGAAAAGTAGCTTATTAAAAAATTTGAGTTTTATTACAATAAAAAACTCTTAGAAACAGTCACATCTAACTTTTTTGCTACAGTAAAAAGCTCTCACATAAAGTCACATCCCAACTCAAATTAAAAACTCGAATCAGCAAACTAAACGGGCATATTTGAAGAGAGAGAATAAGAACGGAAAAAAAACGACATATCAGAAAAATGGAGAGGAATTTGTCGTATTTTTTGGGAATAGATTTTTGCTCTAATATCTCCAATATCGAGATATCAAAAATAGGATTTTTTTTTAGAGGATTTGAAATCCCTCATGACAATCCGTTTCCTGCTCTTTTCACTTATACAAAATAATTATGCGCCTCGAAATCCTTCTACTCATGTTCTCACCCTTCTCTCTCCTTTCAGTTTTTCCCTCCAACCAAACAAGGTCATAAGATTCAAAAGCATAAATGGGCTAGCCCTAATCCTCGGGCCGGTAAAAGACCCAACATTGGCCCAACTAGAGGCACTACAGTCTTATGGGCTGGACAGCCCAACACTGACCCATGAAGAAACAAAGAAGAAGTGTAAGAGAACATTTCTCCACGCTCGCCTCTACTACAGCGAGCGCGTGCGAAACACGGTCTGAGTCATCCGCCACGTCAGCACGAACCCAAAAGCGACAGACCACCGGTGTACTACCAGTAACCAGAGTCGTCTTCTTCTTCTTCTTCTTCTCTCTCTCTCTCTCATCAAATTCGTAAACCTTCTGCAACTCCCATTTCAATTATCCAAACTTCTCGGAGAATCCAAAACTCGACGATGAAATTCGATGCCGAAACCCTAGAAATGCGCAAACGCTGGTGCTGAATCTGAGCTATCTCTGAGATGAATCTCTCGCTGTCGTCGTCGACTTCGTCTTCATCTTCCTTGTCGTCTTCCTCCTCTTCTTCGTCTTCGTCGACCGGTTCTTGGCTCTCCGGCTTCGTCCGCGGCCGGTCGGACCGGCCTGCGAGCGTCAAGATGGGAACCAACTCCGGAGACTCCGGAGACTATGACGGTCCGGTCGTGTGGAAGAACCAGTTCCGAGGAATTCTGTTCAAGTACGGCCCAAAGCCTATTCAGGTCTGTGGTTCTTTGTGCAGTTGGATTTGGATACTGGATCTCTCTTGTTTTGATTCAAATGTTTACTTTTAGCTTTGCGAGGCTTTGAAGCTGAAAGCAAGTTTGAAAATTTGTTATGATATATTATAGAACTAGATTAGTTTTAGTAGCGAGATGACTGTTGAATTAGTCATAGGCAAAAAAGGCGATTTTTTGGAATCGATTCCGAAACGCCATTTAGGTGAATAGTGATGGAATTGTTTATGTGGTTTCAATATTTAGGTAAAAATGGCTTCTGTATTCTTAGATTGTCATTGAAAATTTGAATTTTTGATGTAGACATTGCAAGAACCTGGATTACTTTTGAAGTATTAATTATAACGTAGGTTCTATGATTTGCTCGCTTGCTAAAACTAAGCACATTTCCTTTAATTTGTTCAATTTTGAAAGAGTAGATCTTCAACACTAACTTGTTTACCAGATTTGAATACCAAATGAAATGGCAATACACTTGTTAATATCTAATTGGTTAAATAAGATGTGCAAAAGTATCTCAAAAATGTCATTTGGTTACTATATAGTATATACTAAAAAGTGAGTTGTCAAATCATTTAGTGTTGAAAATTTTGAATTACAACTCAAATTTTTGCTGCAGCGTTTTCTCTCACAAAAATTCAAATTCAACTTTTTCTATTGCAATATTTTCTCTCACATGAATTTACTTTTTCACTCAATAGCATTATTCATTTGAAATGGCTTATAGTGATATTATCTTTGTTGTCCAGGTTGCATTTAAAACGGGTAATTACAAGCAGCAAGTAATTTTTATTGGTGGCCTGACTGATGGCTTTCTGGCAACAGAGTATGTGTTTCATTGTTAGCTATCGTACATAAAGCACTAATGAACTTCATGGAAGTAACTTATTCTCTCCTTTCTTTCAATCTTTGTTTGTGTGAGAACCAAATTTCATTGTTCTGCAAGATGTTTGTTCTTGAGAGTCTTAAAACATCTTTTAAATCCTCGTTTCTGTTGTGTATTTCTTTTATTTGATGTGCAGATATTTGGAACCTCTTGCAATTGCCTTGGATAGAGAGAAATGGTCACTTGTTCAATTACTCATGTCATCGTCATACACTGGATTCGGCACCTCTAGCTTGAAACAGGTAACTCGTTGTGGTATATACTTTATTTTATGTTGTTATTATTATTATTTATTTTTTGGGGTTCTAGCCTGTAAGGGTACTTTCCATGCATTATATTTTTTATTGGTCTTGACAATGAGGTCCGCTTCCAATTTTAACATATCTCATGGTATAACTACACATTACTAACAACTTGCCATGCATGATTATTGTTTATTGGTCTTGACAATGTGGTCTGCTTCCAATTTTACAGCATATCTCATGGTATAACTACATTACTAACAGCTAGATGGTTGTGTTCTTCTATTTTCATTGTGCATCGATCTTCATCTTTCATTCAGAGTACCAAGTATACCTTCAAACTAAAACTGGTAGATGTAATGTGTTATAACATGCTCTGTTCTAAGTCGTTGTGAAAAGCCAGTTAGGGTTTCTTTTTAGCAGAAATTTGATGTTGTATAATGTTATATATACTATTAACTGAAATTACTGGCTTGAGGGATAGTTAAGTGTAGGATGAGAAGAATCCAATGTCCTTAAGGGGAAAGACGGCGATTTTTCAATCAATAATAGTTATTATCTTGCAATAGCAATCCTAGGCTATCTAACTCTTCTAAACTAATAATAACAACAATAATTAATACTATGTTAGTCATCATCAAGTGAATAGCCATCTTACATGTTTGCAGGCTTCTATTTTAGTTTGATTCTGTTGAACTGCAATGTATCACATGAATTTCAGTTGCATCTGCTTTTACATTTTGGCCTAGTCACTTGGTATGCATTAGAAACTGTTCCCGAGTTCGTGGGGAACATCCGCATGCCATATGTTAGAATGTATTGTAAATAAGATCATAAAGATTATATGAATATAAATAAATATAAATGTACATATGGCACGCATTAATGTAATAAACCAGAGAAAGAAATAATAAGCATACAATACCTGTGTTTACCTTGGGAGATCAACAATGATAATTAGACCATGAACCAAAGGACAATTAATTTATGGAAATAATGTCATGAAATCATATGGGGAAGATGTAATTCTCACAACCGATGGTCGTCTCAATCAGTAATTGGGGATGGTTACTTCATATTACTAATTATATCTATAACAATAAACCCTCTCTTATTCTTGGTTTTCCATTTCTATCTAAGTCACTCTCATGTTTTCTTGCTTAATTTTGTCTAACTGTATAATATGTTGTCTGAATGATTGTGAAATCTAAGGATTGCTTATAAGGTCTTGAAGGCTTGTGAAGTCTCCAAAAATGCATATGATGTGTTAGAAACTTGTTAAGGCTCCAAATGCAATTGCCTTCTTAGCTTGTCTTCCCCTCTATCTATAGCTTTCCAAACACTATGGTTGCTAACTTATTGTTTTACCACTCACCATTCAAATAGTTGTTTTATTCTACTTTCCTCCCTCACTATTTGGTATAGATGGGTTACATAATGTTACTCTCCCTCTCCTCTTATTGTTTTCCCATGCTAAGTTTTTTATGGTTTTTGTTTTACCACCCTTATCTTATTAGTGAATTGGAAGAGCCTTTTTATTCTCTCCATACTATAATACTACCACTTTCCAATTAGTTGAATAACTTTGTTCTCACCTTTCATGGTTGCATTATAATGCAACCACAATGCTCGAAAAACTTGTTAGGCTTGATCGTACCATGAAGCAGCACAATATAACTTGCCGCCCCATTATACTATGGAGTAGCACAAATCTTTTAAATAGCTAGTTTGGTAATATGAAGTATTTGATATTACTGATTCAGTGCTCACCGATATGAGTCTGAGTCCTAAAGGGCAATATTACATCCAATCCTACCATATCACATCCCATGACATTGTTCCCTCATAATTATTTCATCCCCATTATATAGAAAAATGCCCCAAAACAGAAACTACACATTTTGTTGATTTACTGAAAAGGCATTGTCATCTTTTATTTCAAAGGACGCCATGGAGCTTGACCAACTGATAAGTCATCTTATCAACAAAGAAGACTCTGAGGGTGTGGTACTACTCGGTCATAGTACTGGCTGTCAGGTTAGTGCTGATTGAAATTTAAGTTGAGCTCTACGTGATGCAGTGTTGAACCTTAAATATTTGTTTGAAGTATAATAATATTTTGGTTGCAACTCTAGGATATTGTGCATTATATGCGCACGAATGCTGCATGCTCCCGAGCAGTCCGGGCTGCCATTTTGCAGGTACTAAACTCTCTAATTGTTTTCTTTCCCTCCTGTTACTGTTAGAGATCTATTTACCTTTCCTTGTAAGTTGAATAACTATCTTTGTTGGTTGCCGCTAAGAGGTCCAGAACACGAGTAATTCTATCCGGGCTTAACACTTATGCAAACCTTCCCATAGGCATGATATTTGTACAAATATGAATTCCCAGTTGAGGGCAATTACACATGAATAGTGGTGATTTGTAGATTACTTATCTCAATACTGAGGACCAATAGTGTTCTTAGAATTCTTAAAATTAGTTTTTATTTGTGAAATGAGCTGCGGAATAACACCGCTAGATGATGTGTGTGTTACTAGAATAAGCAAAACAGTGTTGGGCTTCTTCAACCTCTTAACTTGTCATGCCTTTTGATACATTTGGAGGTTCTTATTGACTGTGGCAACTGCTTCTGTCTTCTTGTTGCTACCTTTTTGCACGTAAGAATATCTTTGTCAAAATTGCTAATTAGAATGGAATTGTCAGGCCCCAGTAAGTGATCGTGAGTACAGAGCAACTCTTCCTGAAACAGCAAGTATGATCGACTTGGCTTCATCCATGATAAGTGAAGGCCGTGGTTCTGAGTTAATGCCTAGAGGGGCAGATCCAACTGCCCCAATAACTGCCAATAGGTTGGCATACAACCATTTTCTCTTCTATACTTTTTCCCTTTTAATTGCAAACAACTTATTTATCATCTCCTAGTGTATTTCGATTTCTTATTTCTTTTGCTTGTTTTGGGAGTTCATGTTTTAATATGATGTATCTCCCCTTCATCCTATTTCATTAAGAAGTTGGCAACTGAATTGATTGAGTATGCTGGATTTCATTCTTCATTTTTTCTAATAACAATGCTCTCTTTCCTAAATAACTAATTTGCCTCGCAGGTATCACTCCCTATGCGCATACATGGGAGATGATGACATGTTCAGTTCCGACCTTAGCGACGACCAACTGAGACAGAGACTTGAACACATGTCCAACACACCTTGCCAGGTTCGAAATTTGCTACTTGTTCGAAATTTATATCAACACAAATTGAAGCTTAGATTGTGAGTTAAACATATGGGGAAGCAAATTCTACCTTGGAATTTAGGCAAGTTACTAATATAAAACATAAACCATGTAAGAAAAGTTGAAACGCGGAATATTAAGAAACGGACCATCCCCGGTACCTTCTTTTATTAACAAACAAACTTGTTTAAGAAAACTGTATAAGGATTTCTCTTATTTAGATTAAGCAGTAATTGAGTAGAACATGTCCAATAAAGTTCCTCTTCATTTGCGTCTATGCGGCAAACAAGAACGCGTTTTCTTTCCGTAGACCTACACGGATGCTATTATCTAGTTTTGTACTTCAAAGGAGCCGTTACGACATTGTAAGTATGTCATTTATTTTTGCAGGTCATTTTTTCCATGTCTGACGAATACGTGCCAGACTATGTTGACAAAAAGGCATTGGTTGACAGGTAAAAGTAGTAAACTCTCTTTTAATCTGTTTATTACTTTACTGACACGATTCGTATCATCCCAATGTCACATTGATGATGCCAAAGAAAATGCCTTTTCGTGTCTTCTTGTATATGCATGTGCACTGCTCGTGCTCTTGCATAGTTTGTCCGTTAGAGAGAGAATCTTAGTATGTGATTATTGATTAATGATCTTGTTGGTTCTTTTGGGAAAAAAAAAAAAAAACAACTTTTGCAGATTGTGCAGAGCAATGGGGGGTGCAGAGAAAGTTGAAATCGAATATGGAAATCACTCTCTTTCAAATAGAGTGGATGAAGCTGTCAAGGCCATAATTGATTTTGTTAAACGAGATGGACCCAAAGGGTGGGATGATCCGTGGAATTAGCGTGGTGATTTGATTTGCTCTTTTCCATTATCTGTCTAATTCTTTTGCTCGTTATTCTTATCGTTTTCCTTATTCAATGATGCACATTTTTTTTTTTAATTTAATGTCTTCATAGTGTATTATTAGCTGTTAATTGCATTAGTGAGCTGGTACGGAGAGATAAACAAGTGAAAGTGATGCTATTTGTTTATTGAAGTTTTTCGCCTTTTCAGCATACTTTTGTCTTCTACAATCACGGGCTTGGACTCTTCTTTGTTGATTGGTTTGTCGTTTCTGTAATAGTTCTCGTGATATTGAGCATTGGATTTTTCTTTTTCTTTCTTTTTTCCATGCTTTTCAACAGCAAAATAATAATAATAATAATAATAATCATCATCATCATAATAAGGAAAGATAAGTCTTTTTGACATTCGTTGGGAGTTGAAATCTATCCTTTTCATACAGAGAAATATTGTGCTGGTTATGTAAAATGAAAACGCAAATGCGGCTGATTTGCATACAATGTGTTTCTTTTTCTTTTCAAAGGATATATAAACTCGATAGTTCTTTCTTTTGTTGGTTTTAGGCTTCATAAAAAAATCAAGATATAGCATCATGTTTGTTAGGAAGTGTTATCTTTTATTGAATTGGAGTCATAAAAGTTGCAAGAATATCTGTGGCCAAAAAAAAAAAAAAAGGAGGGAAAATGAGGAATCAAGTAATGTAAATGGACAAGGACACCCATGTGGCGCGATCAAACATTTTCTGATAGAAACAATAGGCCCGTGTAGTAACATTTTTTAAATTATTTTGGACTTGTTCTTTTGAGTGAAAAACTCAAAAAAAAAAGTAACTTGAGTTACAACTTTATTTGAGTTCATGTTCTTTTAAGTTTAAACTCGAGTTCAAACTTGAGTTTATGACTAAAACTCGAGTTCAAGTTTTCCTTTTAACTCGAGTTCAGAAACTCGAACTCAAATTAATGAACAGTAGTTTTTCTATTCTTAAAAATGCTATAACCTTTTCGTTTTAATTATGATTGAGATGATTTTTTTTTCTATGCGTTGACAACGAAAAGACGAATAAAACCCGACCCATATACCCTATTAAAATTTTTCATCAGCATTGAGTTTTTATTAAAATACTATCTAAATACAAATTCAAGTTTTGACTTACTCAAATACAAACTCAAAAAGATTCTTATCTCAAACCATAACTCAAATACACACAATATAACTCAAATTCAACTCAAGAATTATACTCAAGTTAAACTCCAAAAGAACAAGCCCTTTATTTTCAGTACAAAAGTAAAAATAAAATTGTTTTGAAAATTATTTAAAAATTAATTTTTAAATTACGTTTAATTAGTTTTTTAAGAGATTATTTTAAATTTAATAAAAAAATAAAATCGTTTTTGGTTATAATTATTAATTAATATATTATAACATTATTGATAAGTACTAGAAAATAAAAACAAAAAAAGAAAAATAATTTTTAACCATTTTATAATTCATTTACAAAAATCATTCTCACTGTTTTTTGTTTTCGTTTACGTTTTTAAAACATTTGCTAAACAAATACGGTTTACATACCGTTTTCATTTCCGTATCTTAAAAGACGTGCAAAAATGTTTTAAAAACAATTTAAAACCAATTTAAATGTGTTCACATAGATGTTTGCCTTGAATCCTTCTTTTCCTTTCTGGAAAGGTTTCATATATATTCTTTCAAAGTATTTTTTGTGCATCTCCCTTTTTTTCTCAATTTATAGTATTCTAAAGATTCTCGTACGGACTCAATGACCTATGGCAAGTATGAGCTATGTGATGTTCATCTCTTAAATGCATTTAAGTAATTAATGAAGAAGCTATTCGTAATAGGAAAAACCAATCTTGCTTATAGAAGAAGCATAGTTTACATTAAGAAAGAAATCAATTCTCCTCATCCTTTAGGCATAATTGACAACTTTTACGTTTGTGGTCACATGTAAAAGAGGCAGGTTCGTATCCTGTTGGATCTGTTCTATTTATATTTAAACTGTTATTAAAATCACGAATAAAAGGAAAATCATCATGATGTTATACTTTTCTTTTTCTCTAGATTCATGCTTTGTAATATATTGTTGTTTACCATAATTTAAGTTGTAAAAAAAGTAACACCCTTTTATCGCTTCTCTCTTGTATCTTTTGTTGTTTACGTAAGAACAACTTTTGTAGCTTATAAGACTTCAAATTACAAACCCAGATAATTGATATGTTTTTCTTAGGAAGAAGGTAACATATTTAAAACTCAGGAGAAAGAGACAAATGCATTTTAAAAGTGTATAGGTCGGAATTTTTATCTCTTATTTTTTATTTATATCTTTTTTAGTTAAATAATTATATTAGTTAAAAAGATATTAATTAAGATTAAAAAATAAAAATTTAAGTTCATACATTTTAAGGTAAGTTCAACAATTTTTTTCGAAAACTTTGAATGGGTGGATTGGCCGTGTGGAACAATGGGAAGGGATTATTGGACAAAATTTGTAGAACACAAAACATGGGTATTTTGTGCGAATAGTAAACTAGCTTAACTTCGGACTAGAGAAGACGCGGGAAAGCACGGTTGCTGGTTGGTTGGTTGGGTTGGTATGACTATGAGTATGACACCATTAAAGTCCCGAATGCATTTTCCTTCTTTGGAGGCTGAAACTTTTAGTCCATGAAAAAAAAATGATAAGTTTTAAAAATACTTTTGGAAATGAAGTCTTTTTTTTATTTTTATTTCTTAATATTAGTCGATATATTTTTATTTTTTAGATTATAATTAGTTAAGGAGTAGAATTTTTTTTTAAAATATACTTTTAATAAATTAGGTACTTATTAAAGTAGAATTTGTAATTTTCTCATAAAAAAATTCTAAAACAAAATTTATTTTTAATATATTCTATTTTATCAATTATATATATTTTTATGTGATTTTGAAGGTAAGAAACATACAAAAAGTTAATAATAATTTTAATCATAGGATCTATTTCGTTCACTGTTACAGGCCACACAAAAAAAAAATTAATTGCCACCAGTTCACCAGGGCATAGGACGTCATTTCATTATGTGTTTGGTTGGTAGATTCATATCATGGTTCGAATTATGAATTGCCACCAGTTCACCAGGGCATAGGACGTCATTTCATTATGTGTTTGATTGGTAGATTCGTATCATGGTTCGAATTATAATTCGTGACTCGCTACAGTGTTTTATCTCACAAAAAAATATACGTAAATCGAGAATAGTTATAAATCATGATTCTGAATCCACGAACCAATCATGATTCTAATCATTTGAAAGAAATGATATTTTCCTTATCATTTCTTTATTTTTACAAGGTCAAAATTGAAAGTCCCTTGTTTCTCACAAACTCTATCCATCTGTATCCCAATGATATTGAAAGAGACTCCGGCTTCTACATTATTTCACATATTCTTGAGATGTGAACAAAATTCACTATGATAGTTAACAAACTTCCAAAAATATTTTCAATAATAATTAAAAACAAAACAAAAACAAAATTCCAAAAACAAACATTACTACAGCCATAGTTATTGGGGATGGGCTAGTGCAGCTACCCACTAATATATGCCAGTTGACAGATCTTCTTTTTTTTTTTTTTTCCCTTCTCCTATTGGACCACCAAATTATTAATATTTATCAATTTTATCTGCTCTACTAATACCATAAAGTGACACTTAAATTGATCATCTATACATGCGTGTTTAATAATTATGGGGCTGTTCGAAGAGCTAGTTTTTGAGTGAAAAACTCAAAAAAAAGGACAACTCGAGTTATAACTTTATTCGAGTTCATATTCTTTTAAGTTTGAACTCGAGTTTGGAACTAAAACTCGAGTTCAAATTTCTCCTTCAACTCGAGTTCAGAAACTCAAACTCAAGTTAATGAACAGTATTTTTTCTATTCTTAAAAATGCTATAACTTTTTCGTTTTAATTCTGATTGAGATGATTTTTGTTCTATACGTTGACAACGAAAAGAAGAATAAAACTAGACCCATATACCCTATTAAAATTTTTCATTAGCATTGAGTTTTTATTAAAATACTATCTAAAAATAAATTTAAATTTTAACTTACTCAAACACAAACTCAAAAAAGATTCTTATCTCAAACTATAACTCAAATGTACACAACCAAACACAAACTCAAGTTACAACTTCAACTCAAATTATAACTCAAACTCGATTCAAAATCTAGACTCAAGTTACATAATTCAAAAACATCAAAAGAACAAGCCCATGTCTCTTAACAAGTAACCTGTTTTTTTTTTTTTCTTTTTATAGGGCAAGTAACACGTGTTTTAGTTATAGAATATTAGATTAGATTAGATTAGGATATTGGTTATTTTTTTTTTTAGGAAATTATCGAGTGACTTAAAGCTATCATAATATGCTTAGTGTACAATAAATGTCGTGAGATAAATTATACGTCACACCTTGCTGGTACTTAACTTCTCGCCATAATCCCAAGTGTGATAGTTTACCAAACCTAACAAACTAACTAGTAACTAATCACATTCGCTATTGTCCAATTAAAAAAAATTTAATTAATGCTTCATATATTGTGAGAAATTAATTAATGCTTCATATCTATTTTTTTTTATTCCTCAGTTTTATTTGGTCTTTTCTTTCTTCTTTTTGTGTAGAAGATCGTAGCCACAATGAGTGGTCCTGCAAAAACAAAAACAAAAAACCAAAAAAAAATCCGAAAATTGTACAAAAGAACGTCAAGATGTGATCAGCCCTTTGTAAAGTTGGCGAGTTGGGACCGAGTGCCCTACTTTAAAAAATCCAACGTACCGGAAAAAAATAGTAGCAAAATTATTACTTATTCGTAAAATTTTTTTTTTTCAAAAAAAAAAAAAAAAAAAAAAAAAAAAAAAAAGAAAGGAAAAAGTCAAAAGGTTGTGTAATTAGGGTCTGTTTGGGAGAATTTCTAAAAGCTGGTTTTAGTTTTTTAAGTTCAAAAGTTGTTTATGAAAGTATTTGGATAATCTGTTAGAAATATTTTGTATTTTCAGAAGAGTTTCCGGTTGAAGTTAAAAATTGTGGCTTTTAAAAGAAAATACTTCTAAATAAACTTTAAAACTTGTAGCATAGTTTAATTAAGACATTATAAACTTAATTTCAACACTTTTATTGTTTATTAGAAAATTTAAAAATTATTTTGATTCATTAAGCTCTTGATTTTAAACACTTAATAAAAAGCTACAACTTTTACTTATATTCTTCTATTGGTTAAAAATAAAAGCAACCAAACTGGCCCTTAATAGGTTTATAAGTCTACAAGTCTTCTTTTAATATCTCAGAAAAATTTGAGGCATCTATTTTATATTGTTGAGAGTTAATCATTGAATAACTGTTGAAAATATACAAATAAAGTTTTTAATATTTTTTGTAAAATTATTTAGATATTGTGTTTCACATAAATCTTCACTCTTCTTGTAAACCTGCAAACATTGCTTTAACCTTAACTTTTTCTCTCTCCTTTTTTTTTTTTTTTTTTTTCTTTTTTCGTCCCTGATCTTATTTGGCAAAAGAAGAGGACTTCATTACGTGTTTTTCTTAGTAATTGATAGGAATGTTTAGAACGTTTTCTGCTACTTTTCTTCAAGTTGGAATTTCTATTATCTATCATGATTTATGGCCATCAAGATCATCGTTTGGTGATCACCAAATTCGACCAACAAGAAGTTGGCTCAAAACTACAAATGATGATATAAATGTGGATGTCATACGTCTCAAAAGAAACATCATTTTTCGGTTCATGAGATAAAAAGTCTTAAATGTTACCTGGTTTTCGTATATTATATCCTCTTTACTGAATTATCGTATTGGGTCAAATATATTAGCCAAAAAAACATAATTCTAATGACGATAATTGAATTACTTTAATTAAATTAGTTTTTGCTTATCTTATTTTATTTACGTTAGTTTATCCAAGTATTATAAATCTTTAATTTATTATTTGAGTTAGATTAGGATTCTCTTTATTCTTATATATATTTCACTCTCGTCAATGGAAAAGTTAAAACCATCACTATTAAAGTCTAAATCTATTACACTCTTGGAAAGTTCTCTGAAAACTGCGGAATCTCATGTTTAGGGGTACATATTAATATAGTCGCCAAGGTAAGAGAAAATCACTCTGTTTTTATTATTTTTTTACTCTTCTTCAGAAGCTTTTATTTACTTACCGGTTTTTGTTTGTCATTGTAAATAACATCTATATTAACGACATGCATTAATTTTGTATTACTATAGCTAGCTATAGAACATAAGAATGATTAGTTATACTTGAATATTAATTAACCAAATCTAACCAATTATAAATTAAGTGGACTTTTAGTTTATGGATTCAGAATCATACTTCAGAATTATTATCGATTTACGTGTATTTTTTGTGAGAAAAAAATACTATAATGAGTCACGAATAATGACACGAATTCTTACTCTAAACGCAGCATAAGATACTCACCCAAAATTAAAAAAAAAAAGGGGAAAAATAAAATCAAACTTTAGTTTATTTGTTTAATTTTATGTGTTTTTTTAGAGAATTTTTGTTGAATGTGCATTGATCATGGGTTTGTTGCCACAGCATATGCCTTACTTGGTGGTCTTTTTTTTTTTTTTTTTTGGGTTTCCATGGCATCTCCATCAAAACATCACCACGTGATGCCCATTTGACAGCCTTTCCTAAACAACCATGCACAAAAACAACAATGCCTCCCAAATGACATAAATGCCCCTGCCCCACCGACGAAACGATTTGCCCTCTCTTGTCGGTGGTCCTTACTGTCCATAGAAACTCGGTTATTTCATCAACCTCTCAAGGGTATTTTCGTCCTCACAATACTTTTCCTCCCTTCTTTACTAGCTTTCCCGTACTAGTGTCCCCTGCAATATGATTTCTTGGATTCCCAACTTCCATCCACGTAGCCCCTCCAACAATTAATATTTATTAGGGATTTCATTTTTTTAATAATTTTTTTATTACTATTTATGTATTTTCTTTTATTTATTTGTCGTTATATTATTCAACAAAAAAAGCCATTCCAACGTACATCCTCTGTTGTATCTTATTTATGTTTTTCCAGAGAAACATTCTATTTTAGTTTCTTTTACCTTCTCAGAACAAGAAAGAAAAGACCAAAAATCATATCGTTATTTTCTCCTGTAACCAAAACTTATTTTGATTTCTTTACTTAAAGAACCAAACTTTCTGTCTTGTTTTCTGGTGAAGTTTTTGATCTTTTCTTCATCACCATCCCCCCCCTTTTTTTTCCCTTCTTTTTTGGGTTCAATCTTGAAGATGAAGGAGAAAGGAGCAAACTGGCCCTCACCAAGTTTTTTGCTCCAATGTCGTTTTGGGCTGCTCACGGCTCTTGTTGTCGTCGGAATGTTTGCCGTTTGGAGCATCGACGGCTGTACGGTGAATGACTTTATTGAAGCTTGGAGGTCTCGCCAAGATTTCCTCATCGCAAAGGTCAGTTCCAACAGCCAAGCTAATCTCACCCAAATCCATGGCGGTTTAGGTTTTATGAACTCTTCAACCATTGTTATTAACCAAACCCAGAAAGAAACAAACTTGACACAGTTCAGTTCTCACTTCAATTCCGAAACTCCACTAAATCTCACAAGGTATGAACCACTTTTGAGTCAGAATTCAACTTATTTATCCACAAAAACAGAACAAAACACAAGTTTTATCAGCTGGGTTTCGGCTGATTTGGAGCCCAACGTGACGACCAATCTCCTCTCGCGGTGGCTTTCTCCCGGAGGCCAGCCTTGCAAGGACTCAAAAACGGCGGAGATTTCAATTCCTGGTTTGGACAACAATGAGGGTTTGGTACAGTTACCCGCGGGTGAAATTCACGAGTTTGGTTTCCAAGCCTTGGACGAGAGTAGGAACCCCCGTTGCTTAGGTGGGGACTATTTTGAAACTGATCTTTCTGGTGGTTCATGGAAATCTAGGCCTTTAGTTAAGGATTTTGGAAATGGGTCTTATTCTGTTTCACTCCAAGTTCACCCAGATTTTGTGGGCACTTATCATTTAACCATAATTCTCTTGTTTAGGCACTTTCAGGGTCTTAAGTTTTCGCCTTCGAGATTCGCCTTTGATCGAGAACTGCGAAAGATTCGGATTAAGTTCTATAGAAAAGAGTCTTCTGCTGAATTGCCTGTGCTGCAATTTTGCAAAGAGAGTGATTTTGGTAGGGACATTTGGTCCGGAAGGTGGACTAGACATGGCAAGAATGATGATTGTAAGATTAGCAATGACGGCCGATACCGGTGCCTTGCCACGGATTTTCCGTGCCGGAATCCATGGTGTAGTGGCTCATTGGGGTCATTGGAGAGTAATGGTTGGGTTTACTCAGCACATTGCTCGTTCAGATTGTTTTCAGCTGATTCCGCTTGGAATTGCTTGAAGAATAGGTGGATTTTCTTTTGGGGTGACTCGAACCATGTTGACACGATTAGGAACATTCTCAATTTCGTGTTGGATCTGCCTGAAGTGCGCACAGTTCCTAGACGATTCGATATGAACTTTTCGAACCCGAAGGACCCTTCGCAGAGTGTTCGAATCACGAGCATTTTCAATGGGCATTGGAACGAGACGCAGAACTACCAAGGGTTGAATTCTTTGAAAGATGAAGGGTTTAGGAACTTGGTGAAGAAGTACTTCTCAGAGGAAAGAGTTCCAGACACTGTGATCATGAATTCGGGTTTGCACGACGGGATTTTTTGGCCCACCATAAGGGCATTCTCTAAAGGGGCAAACTTTGCAGCCTCATTTTGGGCAGAAATCTTGGAGTCAATAAGGGCAAGGGGACTAAAAGCGCCAAAAGTCTTCTACAGAACCACAATAGCCACCGGTGGTTATGCAAGAGCTTTGGCCTTTAACCCCAGCAAAATGGAGGCTTTCAATTGGGTGTTGTTGGAGAAGTTGAGGGAAGCTTGGGTTGTGTCCGGTGTGATCGACAACTTTGACATGACGTTCCCGTGGCACTTCGATAACCGTTGCAATGACGGGGTTCACTATGGGCGTGCTCCGGCTAAGATGAAGTGGAGGGATGGACAAATTGGGCACCAATATTTTGTGGACCTGATGTTGGCTCATGTTCTTTTGAATGCTCTCTGTGTAAGCTAGAGAGAGAAAGTTCTTCAAGTATATTTTTGCAATCTTCCTTGAGGAAGAGTGGCTTTATGGGGCAATGCTTGAAAAGGCATGGTGTTAGGGAGAGTTTGAGGCAGCTTTTCTACTTGGGGGGAAAGCATATATAGATATAACTATAGATATACATGATGAGATAGTAGTATGTTCCCCTATGTAATATTGATTCATTTTGTGCATTTAGGAAAAGAGATTGGCATTCTTTATTTGTTGTAAGTATTGATTTTTACTACTTATTATGGTCTTATAGATTCATGCATATCCCACGTTTGTGGATTATATGACAAGTTCTTCGATTTGCAATTTGCAAGAAGAGGAAGAATATGCTTAATATTTGATGTTCGGCTCTTTCTCTGGTTTCCTTTCTCCAACTTTATATACCCCAAGTTTAGTCTATTGTATTTGAGAGTAAGGCCAAACTTGTGTGCTTTGATTCATACGTACTTTAATTACTTATTCACTCTGTACAGTTTATAGTTTTTATTATATATATCTTGTGATTTAAAGAAAATATTGGTGGCTCGTCTTGTAAATGAAAAAAACTTGTTAACCATCTTTTAAAAGAGGCTAAAGTACGGATGTTGAAGTATCAAAAAAATGAACATGCTTATCATTATCCAAATCCGGCTATAATATTAAATCCACTCAATTTATTATTATTATTATTATTATTATTATTGTTATTATTATTTCTTGGGGCCTCTTTATATGTCGTTTTCTGTAATATCAACCTAGTTGAGTGTAAGCTTGACGAGTTTCATAAAGATGTTCTCATTATGACATATTTATTATTGGATATTGAAAAGTTTGGTTTGCCTAGTGAAAGAGAATTTGAAAGAGTTTGATTATCTAGAAATGCTAGTCAAACAAGTTGATTTGCCATTTAACTGCAAAGACGGTGGAAGAAATCAATGAATTTATAATACCAACTGGGCCAAAGTTCACGTACGGCATTGCTACTATAGACTAACAAATTCTCATAAATGGAACAAGGCAAAAAGCAGTGAACATTGTCTATAGATCCGCCTAAAAAAACGCAAACAAATTGGTGAGAGAAAATAGAGATTTTTTTTTTTCTTTTTTAGTAGGATAACTTTGAAAGAATGCCCCAGATAGTGATACCGTATAGTTACTAGTTAGTGTGTAGTTTTCTTTTCTTTTTCTTTTTTTTTTGAGAAAATTATAAGTGTTTAGTTTTGAGTTGTTAAATTTTGTAATATTGCGTATTAATTTTTTTTTTAAATACTCATACCCAAGAGATAATCTATCATAAACGTCTCTAGAAAAAAAAAAATCGTAAGAAAACAGAGAGATTTTAAAAAAAAAAGTTAGATCAATTTATTTTTACGCTTAAATTGACAAGAAAATAAAATGTGGATGAAATGAAATAAATCCTATCGGTTTCTTGAATAGAATGTCCATTTTCTTTAATATGATGGCCGCTTTTGGAAAGTTGCTATCGGATTTTCAAACATTGCCCTTATTACAATTATGTCGTATAGTCTTTTGCTGGTTTCGTTTGTTAACGTTTTAATTAGCCGTTATTAATAGTGTTTCTTTATGAGCCTTTTCTTTGAGATTCTAAGATTTTAAAGCGTTATTGGGATTAAGGGGAAAAAAAAAAAAAAGATATCGTCGTTTTCTATTAATTTTTTTAGTGTGTTGCTATTTTTAACTTTCCATCGTTTATTTGTTTTATTAGTTATTTCTAGTTTATAGTTTCGGCAAATGGCCTCTCTAAGATGTTTACGTTTCATGTCGTTTCTCAAAGATCTTATGGTTTTTTGTTTTTGTGTTTGTTTTTGTTTTTGTTTTTTTCCTATAGCAACAAAGGTGCAAAGATGCAATGGTTGCTTGTTGATGACGCTTTCTCTTTTTTCTTTTTTTTTTCCCCTCCTCTTTCTTTCTTTGTCGCTTCTGGAGATGTTTTTGTTTTTATAAAACTACACATTGCTTATAATTTATAGATATTTTGATATTTTTTAAAGAGATGATTATTTTGCTATATTATATTACGCCGTTTCACGAATATTGTCATCTGAAACGACAATGTCATCTTGTATGATATAGTTTTATACAATGTTTGTGATTTTCCCAATTACAATTTCTTTCTAGCGCATTGGTTTCCAGTAATCCCTTTTTTGTTTTTAATAATGATATTGTTTTCAATTTCTTAAAAAAATTATTTTATGGATTATTGCCGTTTCCTTGTTGTCATGTTTCATAAAATGTCGTATCCAATTTCAGAAGCTTACTGGCGTTTAATGTTCATATTGTCGTTTTTATGTAATTGAAGTTTTTCAAATTATGTCGCTCTGTTATGCCGTTTTTCAAAGATGTTATCGTTTTGTCGTGACGATATTGTCTGTGTCAAAGGTTAGTTTTAATGGCAGTGTTGTTGAAAATGGCTTTCGTTTTTTGGTTCTTAGGATCTAGTCGTTGTTTAAAATACGTTGTCGTTTTCTAATATTTTATCGTTTTATAAATTTACTTGTCGTTTTTGAGATATTAGACGGGTTCCTCTCATATTGTCGATTTTTCTCATGTCGTTTTTTTTTTTTTTTTTTTTTTTTTCTAAATATGGTCGTTAAATATACTGTTTCGTTATATTTTTGGGAAGAAGAAAATACTTCTTAAAATATATGGGTTTGAATTTTTATCTCTTATTTTTTATTAATATTATCTTTAGTAAAATAACTATATTAGTAAAAAATGTATTAATTAAGAGTAAAATAAAAATTCATATTTATGGAATAAATTCAAAAAATTCCCTCATATATATATATATATATATATTAGATGTCGTGGCTTTTCTAGAGTTTTGTGGTTTCTAAGGCATAAAATATATCTAAGGCATGCTACGACATTTCATTAGGTTTCAAAAGTGGTACAGTGAATAGCTAATTCTCAAAAGTGATAAGAGTGCTTGTGCAAATTCTCTCCCTCTTAAGTAAATATATGAAGGAGAAAGTGGAGAAAGATCTATAGTGTTGAAACAAGTATAAAACATTATTTTTAAAAAATAAAATAAAACTTAGGGTATGCTCTTGATCCCACATTTTCTGGGAGAAAAATTATTGAACTTACTCTTAGAGTTATAGATCTAAATTTTTACCTCTTACTTGATTAATAACTTTTTAACTAATATAGTTACTTGACTAAAAATGTATCAATCAAAGTAAAAGATATAAATCCAGACCCATACACTTTAAGATGTATTTGTCTCTTTTTTCTTTTATCCAAATTTTGCCTTTTTGGCTTGAAAAAATTATTAAACTTACTATTATAGTGCATAATTATAGATTTTAGTCACTTATTTTTTTTATTAATATCCTTTCAACAAATATAGTATTTTAATTAAAAAAATATTAATTAAAAATAAGGGATAGAAATTTAAATTTCATTTTCTCTTTCAGTTAGGCCCATTTAAAACTACTTGGGCTCAAACTCTCGGCCCATTGTGAAATACTATAGCCTCTAGGCCCTATAACATATCTAAGAGGGTCGTTCGAAATAATCGTACTCTCGTGCGGAAAAAACTCGTGCGACTACTCCGACAAAAAAAAAAAAAAAAAAAAGGGGGAAAAAGGTCCGACATTATAATATAAACTTTTGCGCTTAATCCCATCCAAAAAATCCGAAGTTGCACAACAATTTTTCCAATCCCAAGAAGCGCTTTTTCACGTAACCGACGACATGTCAAAAGAATTCTCTATGCCAGCTTTTGTTTTAATGTGATTCTGGAGTTTTTGTTTGTTGGTGGGCAAAGAAGAAAAACGACAACAACAAAACAAAGAAATCTGGCAAACCTTGGGGGTTTGAGTTTGAGGCCTCGCTTGTCCTTGAAGCAAGCTGAACCCGACTACTTGAACGACGACGACGAAGAGTGCAGGCCTTGGCGTCGCAGATTTTCAATCATGGCTTCTTTCACTTGGATTTCCGCTCTCAAAATCACCCTTTTTCTCCTCCTCGTCGCCGCTATTATCGCCGCTTTTTTCACTCTTCCCGTCGAAAAGGTTTCTTTTTTACATCTGGGTCGGTCTTAAATCTTGATTTGTCTGTGTTTTTTGGATGTTGATTTCTTTTTATTGTCCTCGATTCTAAATGGGTTTTCTGCATTTTGGGGAAATTTTGATCATTTGCTCAGGGAAAAGCTTTCCTTTTTTTTTTTTTTCCAATCTGGATGAATATGATGCGTTGATTTTCTAAGATTTATGGCATTGGAATATCATTTTTTTTTTTAATTAAAGAAAACCCCACAAGCAAGTTTAACTTGATTGTGGACCCAATAACCAATTGCGTTTATTTCTTGGAATTTACATTAACCTGTTATCCTGTATTCCTTTTGGAGTAGTAGTTTCAGTTGCACTTTAGTTAGACTTTTTTTTTTAGCTCAGGTTTGATGGATGCTATTCAGTTTATTACCAATATATATGTATATAGCTAAAGTTCTAACCAATTTGGATGATTCAATTATTTATGTGCTGACTAAACGAACTGGTTTTTCAGTTTTTGAAGGACTTCTTAGTATGGGTTGAGAAGGATCTTGGACCCTGGGGTCCTCTCGTGCTGTAAGTAGATTATAACTTCTAGATTTGTTGCTGAAATTTTGATGAGCTGACATCTCAGCCCATATTTCTTTGGATGATTTGCAGGGCCGTGGCCTACATTCCTTTGACAGTCTTGGCTGTTCCAGCTTCAGTACTCACTGTAAGCATTAGCTATTGTGGGTCCGATGTGAGAGAATTTCGTTACATCGATTGTAAATTCACTTGCGCTCCGTCTTTCAGCTAGGTGGTGGTTATCTTTTCGGGCTGCCTGTGGGATTTTTTGCCGATTCTATTGGCGCCACTCTTGGTGCAGGGGCTGCATTCCTTCTTGGTAGAACTGTGAGTTTCTGAAATCTTGTGTGCCTGTAAGAAATATATTCTGCACGTGGGAAGATTTTTATTCAGCGGCCTGTATCTTACTTCGGAATTTCTCTGCAGATTGGTAAATCATATGTTATTTCAAGGTTGAAAGATTATCCTCAGTTCTGTTCAGTGGCAATTGCAATCCGGAGATCTGGATTTAAGGTTTGTATAGTTTTATGTGATCTATGATTATGAAAAATGAACCTTTTGTTCTTGCTAAATCTTGCACTAAATAAGTGATGGGCCCCCTAGACCTCCACTACGTTTCACTTACGCTAGGAGGAGGCCCAAAGGCAGTCGAGGTGATGTGGCAGAAAAAGGTGTTGAGGAAAATGGTGAGGTGGAGGCTGACATGGAAGGAGCGAGCAGAGTTGGAGAAATGGTTGCTGCAGGGAATGCGTAATAGCCCAGACCTCGATAGAGACCTCGGGAGGGGGGAGAGAAGTGGGAAACGGTTAGTGAGGAAGAAATGAATAAAACCAGAGGGAGGAAGGCTGGGAAGGGTATCGAAATTGTAATTGAATTGTCTTAGACGAGCTACTGCTCTAGGGAGTGCAAGGGGTCACTCGAACACCCCCATATCTCTTGTATTTCCTCCTTCAGTTAAGTAGCTTATAATTCAGTCTAAATTGATTTTCCATTCCATTGACTTGCATTGCTGTGTGAAGTTGCTACTCAATAGATCTGGTCCTATCAAAGTGGTATCAGAGCAAGATTTCTGGGATGGCACCGGCTAAAAAAGTGGACGAGATAGCGGAGGAGGTTCGTGAGGAGGTCCAACGCGATCTGGAGGCAATGAAGGGTGAGCTGCAGGAGACGTTTTGTGAGGATCTTAAGAAGATTCCGAAGTTGGAGAAGAGCATGGAGATGGTGATCGAGAAATTGGAAGAACTCCTGAGGCAGCGGGGAGTTTCCACACCGGGACCATCGGCTTCGGTCAAGGAGCTCCCTTCAGTCCCAACAATGACACCGGGCGGACTGAACGGAAGGAGTGGAGGACCGTTCGATGTCGGAGGTCGCCAGGACGCGACAACCTGCGATGGTTTGAATTGAGGAGAATGGCGGACGCGGCGGGTGGAAAGGCCGGTGTTCGATGGGGAGGATCCCGACGGGTGGATTTTTCGAGCGGAGAGGTACTTCGCTCTCAACCGCAGCTCTGAGGTGGAGAAGTTGGAAGTGGCCGTGGTCAGTATGGAAGGAGAGGCGTTGGCATGGTTCCAGTGGGAGGATGACCGGCGAGCAATCCGTGACTAGGTGGACCTCAAACGAATGATCCTAGATCGGTTAAGACCAACACAGGAGGGAAGTTTGCACGAGAAGTTCCTCACTCTCCGGCAAGAAACCACCATGAGGGAGTACCGACGGCAGTTCGAAGTCCTGGCGGCGCCGCTAGCGGGAATTCCAGAGCAGGTCTTGTAAGGGAATTTCATTAAAGGACTGAAACCAGACGTACGAGCTGAAATCCGAATGCTCAAATCGATTGGGCTGGGCTGGATTATGGAGTTGGCCCAAAGGGTGGAAGACAGGTTTCTACAGCTTAAGTCCACTAAGGGACCCATGGGCTCGCAAGGATCTTGGCCCAGAAATTCTTTTGCCCCACCAGCGGCAGCAACACGTAATGGGCCTCCCTTCCAGCCACGTTCCACACAAGCGACTGAGAAGCATGTGGGTGCTCTGTCATCTCCCTTCTGCCGCCTCACAGATGCCGAGCTACAAGCAAAGAGGGATAAAGGGTTGTGCTATTGCTGTGATGGCAAGTATTTAGTGGGTCATCGTTGTCCCAACAAGGAGCTGCAAGTTCTGGTGGTCAGTGGAGAAGAGGCTGACGACGGGAAAACCAGTGAGCACGGAGCGGAAGCGTGGGACGATGCTTTGGCCGAGGAGCTCGTGGAGTTGTCATTGAATTCAGTGGTTGGATTGACTGCACCACGGACAATGAAACTCAAGGGGCGGATTAAGGGAACTGAGGTGGTAATCTTAATCGATAGTGGGGCTAGCCACAACTTCATTTCCACGGAACTAGTGAAAAGATTGGGTTTAGGACTTGATACCACCGGCGGTTATGGGGTAGTGATGGGAACCGGTCTCACGGTTAAGGGAGAAGGCGTGTGCCGAGGAGTGGCCATATCGGTGCAAGATGTCGAAATCGTGGAAGACTTCCTTCCATTGGAATTGGGCAGCGCGGATGTGATTCTCGGAATGCAATGGTTAGAGACGCTTGGGGCGGTGGCAGTTAATTAGAGGGCCCTCTCGATGAAGTTCAAAATTGGTGAGACTCTGGTGGTTTTGTAGGGAGATCCAGGCCTTTGTAAGTCCCCTGTTTCCCTGAAAAGTATGTTGCGGGCACTGAAGCATGAGGGGCCGGGTTTCTGGGTAGAATTGGGAATGATTTCAGCTGAAGGTGAACGTGGGGTGGAGGAGGAAGACCAAGTTTCACCCGACCTGCAAGCAGTGTTGCAGAGACATGCCGACATTTTTCAGATACCGACCGGCCTCCTTCCGCCACGGTCACGGGATCACTGCATCCCATTGAAGGCGGGAACCTCACCAATTAATGTCTGCCCGTATAGATACCCGCAAGCACAAAAGGATGAGATTGAGACACTAGTGGGGGAGATGCTCGCCGCGGGCATCATACAGCCCAGTGTCAGCCCGTTTTCCAGCCTGGTCCTCCTCGTTAAAAAAAGATGGAAGTTGGCGGTTCTGTGTAGATTATCGAGCCTTCAATCGCGGGACCGTTCTAGATCGGTTTCCTACACTAGTGATAGATGAGCTCCTCGACGAATTGCACGGCGCCTCCATTTTTTCGAAGATTGACTTGAAACCGGGCTGCCACCAGATCCGGGTGCTCAGCGAGGATGTGCCGAAACACTACGAGTTCTTGGTCATGCCCTTTGGGCTTACCAATGCTCCGGCGACTTTCCAGTCTCTTATGAACGAGGTATTTCGCCCTTTTCTCCGGAAATTCGTGTTGGATTTTTCGATGATATCTTGGTGTATAGCCGAACCTTAGAAGAGCACGCCATGTACCTCGATATTGTATTGACGGAACTCTCCAAGCATCACCTGTATGCAAACGCCAAGAAGTGCTGCTTCGGGCAGTCAACTTTTGAGTTCTTGGGCCATATCATCTCCAAAGAAGGGGTGGCCACAGATAAAGCTAAGATCGTTGCCATGTTGAGTTGGCCGGTGCCTACTAACCTTCGGGAGCTCAGGGGGTTTCTTGGACTATCGGAAATTTGTCAAGGGATATGGAACAGTTGCTTGGCCACTAAAAAATCTCCTCAAAAAGGACAACTTCCTTTGGTCAAAGGAAGCCGCAGATGCTTTCCATATGCTCAAAACGGCCATGACCACCGTACCAGTGCTAGCACTACCAGACTTCACTCGTGAGTTTGTGATTGAGACGGATGCATCAGGCGTAGGGATTGGAGCGGTTTTGATGCAGGATCAACGTCCCATCGCCTTCTTTAGCCAAGCACTCTCTAGCACATCTCGCCTAAAGTCAGTATATGAGCGGGAGCTTATGGCTATCGTGATGGCGGTTCAGAAATGACGTCCATACCTCTTGGGTAGGCATTTCATTATTCGCACGGACCAAAAGAGCCTGAAGTTCTTGCTTGATCAGCGGGTGGTCAATGAGAACTAGGGGTGGCAATTCGTGTCACGTGTCGTGTTCGTGTCGTGTTTTGATCGTTTTTTAAAAGTTGACTAAATTTGCAGTCAACCTAAACACGACCCGTGATACGAAATTTTTTAAAAACCGCGACACGACCACTTTACGAGTTAACACGACACGACCCGAAAATGACCCGTGACTCGAAATTGACCCGTGAATCCGAAATTGACACGAAAATTGTATTCTTTTATATAGTTTTTTACATATTAGAAATAACTTAAAATTCATAACACACTAAATTACAATAACATCCATTGAAATTAAGCAAATAATAGTATAATATTTTGAGTATAACTATCATGATATCACAAGTTCATAATAAAATTTAAAATATGTAATAAAAAATATATGTATTTTTTTAGTTTTATTAGTTTTTTACATATTACAAATAACTTAAAATTCATAACACACTAAATTACAATAACATCCATTGAAATTAAGCAAATAATAGTATAAGATTTTGAGTATAATTATCATGATATCACAAGTTCATAATAAAATTTAAAATATGTAATGAAAAATATATGTATTTTTTAGTTTTTTACGAGTTTCGTGTCGTGTTCGGGTTAGGCGAGTTCAACCCGAAATTGACCCATATTTTTTGTGTCAATTTCAGGTCGACCCAATTCTGACTCGAACCTCTTTTTTCTCAACCCTAACCTGCAAAATTCGTGTCGTTTTCGAGTCGTGTCGTGATCCATATTGCCGGCCCTAGTGAGAACCACCAGCGTTGGCTGTCCAAGTTGCTGGGCTTTGACTTTAAGATTCACTACCGCCCTGGTCTGGAGAATAAGGCAGCGGACGCATTCTCGTGCTTGCCCTCAACCGTGGAACTCTAGCTCCTTTCGGCCCCCATTGAGCTTGATTCAGAGGAGCTCACACGCCAAAACGCTTTGGATGACAAGCTATCACGGATAGTTGAGGACCTCATGGCTGACTCAGCATCACACCCGGGGTTCTCCTTGTAGTAGGGGCGCCTCATGAAAGAGGGTCGGATAGTACTCTCGTGTGATTCAAGTCTGATGGCTGGACTGTTAGGCACGTACCATGATGGGGTGGCAGGGGGCCACTCGGGCGTGCTCAAAACGTACCGACGCTTGGCGGCCGATTGGTATTGGTTTGGCATGAAGAAGGACGTGGAGACTTACGTCGCAAAGTGCAACGTGTGCCAATAGCACAAGTACGACACCTTAGCCCTCGGGGGATTGTTACAGCCCCTTCCCCTGCCCGACAAAGTTTGGGACGACCTCTCGATGGACTTCATGGAAGGGCTACCCAAATCTGAGGGGTACAATGCCATTCTTGTCGTGGTTGACCGCTTGAGCAAGTATGCTCACTTCATCCTGCTAAATCACCCTTTCACCGCAACAACAGTGGCGGTTGAGTTCCTACGCGGGGCGGTCCAGTGTCATAACCCTTGGGTAGAACTCATCCCAAAAGCTAGCTTGTAAGGAGAGCGTGCCCAAATAGTTATAAACCCACATGCTAAGCCCATACTTTAACAATGTGGGACTCAACCTAGATCCTAACATACCACCACACTTCTGACACCGACGTCCACGGCGGCCCACTCTGGCCTTTCTAGGTCGCCCCTTCCGCAACGTGGGCCTGAGGAGGAGCATGCTCCCAAAAGCTAGCTTGTAGGGAGAAGGTGCTCAAATGATTATAAACCTACATGCTAAGCCCATACTTTAGCAATATGAGACTCAACCAGGATCCTAACATATTGTTATAACCCTTGGGTAGAACTCATCCCCAAAAGCTAGCTTGTAGGGAGAGGGTGCCCAAGTGGTTATAAACCCACATACTAAGCCCATACTTTAGCAATGTGGGACTCAACCAGGATCTTAACATACCACCACGCTTCCGACACCGACGTCCACGGCGGCCCACTTTGGATGGCCCACTCTAGCCTTTCCAGGTCGCCCCTTCCACACGTGGGCCTGAGGAAGAGCATGCTCTGATACCAATTGTTATAACCCTTGGGTAGAACTCATCCCCAAAAGCTAGCTTGTAGGGAGAGGGTGCCCAAGTAGTTATAAACCCACATGTTAAGCCCATACTTTAGCAATGTAGGACTCCACCAGGATCCTAACATCCAGCTGCATGGAATTTCCCGTTCTATTGTGTCTGATTGCGATAGGATTTTTCTCAGCAAATTTTGGACAGAATTGTTCAAACAGCAAGGTTCAATGCTAATAAGAACAGAATATTGACTACAACCAGAAAGAATCAGAAGAATGAAATATGATCTTTGTTGACTAACGGAAATGAATTACAAAAGCAGTCTTTCGAGATATTGCTAAATCTCCTTTGCTCAGCCTTAGCCAAGACTTCTTGTACAAGACTCCAGTATTTTCCTCTCCTCTCTTAGTTCCCGAACCCCCCTTTTAATATCTCCTGCTTTCTCTAACTAATTCCCTAACCAACTAAAGTCTACAGTAACTAACTAATAACATTCTTTCTAACTAACTACTAACTTCTCTAACAAACTAACAAGTTGCTATCAAATGCTAGCCTGGAGCACTGCCTATCATCCTCAAACGGATAGTCAGACCGAAGTAGTGAATAGGTGCCTTGAGACTTATTTGCAGTGTTTCTCATCCGACACGCCTCGCCAATGGTCAAAGTGGCTTCCTTGGGCTGAGTATTGGTACAATACCTCATTCCACACCGCCACCCACATGACTCCTTTCCGTGCACTCTACGGTCGTGACCCGCCCCCTTTGGTGCGTTACGGTCTTGGTCTCTCTCCTGTGGCCACTGTCGACCAGCAACTTGCGGATCGTGATGCCTAAATCTTGCACTAAATAAGTCCGCTCATTTACTTGGTGCCTGTTTCAATGGCATCTTGGGTCCTACTGCTTCTGGAGTGTTTGGATGACCTTCCAGTCAAAGCAACAAAACATGGCTTCACAAGAATCTCTTATGAGAAGATTTTGAAACTAGTGTTAGAGTTTAGGACATAAAATGTGCTCTAACATTTTTACTATTCATTAATTACATATTGAATTTGTCCCATGAGGCTATTTTAGAAAAGTGGTTCCAAAGATTGACTAGAAAGCCATAGCTTTTACTTCTATTCTTTTATGGTCTAAAAGCATAAGTAAAGTTATTCTAAACCGGCCCTTACTCATTTTCTAGTGCTAATCTTGCAGGAAGTCTACCAATTCTGACGATCCCGAGTAAATTTTCCCTTTAATATGATTCAGTTATTTATCTTATAACCCTTTTTTTGGTTGTCGTACAGATTGTTTTGCTGCTTCGGCTTGTGCCTTTGCTTCCATTTAGCATGTTAAATTACCTTCTATCTGTGACTCCTGTTCCAATTGGAGAATACATGCTGGCTTCGTGGTTAGGAATGATGGTATGCTATTTATCCTTAAGTTATTACTTCAAAGCAATTCGATCTGATGATTATGATGTGTAATTTTGATGTTAGTAGCAATTAAGGTCTCGTTCATTTCACCGATTTGAGTTTTCAGTTTTAGATTTTTACAGTAAAAAGCTCTCAGAAAATGTCATATCTAATTTTTTCTGCTACAGTGAAAAGCTTTCAGAAAATGTCACATCTCAGCTCGAATTGAAAATTCGAATCCGCGAAGTGAACGAGGCCTAAGTTTAAGGATGTCAACGGCGACAAAAGAAAAGGACAATTTAAAACTAATTATTGCAGTTACTTATTTGATATTTGTTTGTTCAGAATGGAGCTTTTGTCTTAGTACTGTTATCTAGTTAAAATGAAAATTTGATCTTAATGTGAATACCAAATCCAATATGTTCAACTTGATTTCTTCTACAGCCAATAACACTTGCACTGGTTTATGTTGGAACCACTCTCAAAGATCTTTCTGATGTGACACACGGGTGGGGTGAGCTCTCAAAGACTCGATGGGTGAGAGCCAATTTTTCACTTTACCAACTTCCCCTTTTGCTAGATTGCTACTTTTAAGAATAAAGAATTGAGCTTGCGGTACAATGTTTGCTGATTCCGAGGCTCGGTGCCCAAAGCCCCATGGTTTTTCCCTCTGGAGCACCCATTCAAAGGGAGTACAATTTTATTTCTGTTCTTAGTGACATTATGAGGTGCTAGAGGCTGATTTATGTTTCGTCTAACAAAAACAATGGTTTTCTTTTTTCTTAAAAAAACTCTGATTTATTTCCTCTTTTGTATTATAAATGTATTATAAATGCAGGCGTTTATCATATTGGGGCTTGTTGTATCTGGTAAGTTGCAAATTTTGCTGAGCATGTACACATATCATATATATGATGACAAAGTGGACACATGCAATGGAGTTAACTTTTTATGGTGCTTCATAGTTCTTACTATGTATGATGTAATCTTGGTTATTGAAATTAACTGATATCTGGTAGAAAAATGCTTGGACCACTATCGGTGCTTAGCACCACCACTAATAGAAGATTGGCCCCACTTATGAGCCATAAACTACGGGACCCACATTTTATTAGTGGGTGTTGCTCAGTACTACTGGTACCCTATAGCATTGTTTTATCTCACAAGGAAAACAAAATGGAAGGAATAACCCATTAAAATTTTGTATTTACAACTAATGTAGTCATGTACTACGTGTTAGAGAATTTGAATATAGATGCAAGGCTTATGCATGACCAAAGTAGTGGAAATTTGGCGTTTTGTGTAACTTTTAGCATAACCAAAGTTGACATTTTGAATCTTAAAACATCTTGTCCTTTTTCTTTGGGGTTTCTGTGCAGTTGTTCTGATGATCTGTGTTACAAGAGTTGCCAAGGCTGCTCTGGAAAAAGCTTTGGCCGAAAACGAGGGTATTGAAAGCATTATAGACTCGACCGAAATACCCATTGTAGCCGAACCTCCTGTGGATCTCCACCAGCCTCTCATAATCAAGATAGATTCCTCTGAAGACAGACATGAAAATTGAAAATTTTGCTGCTTTTGTAGATTTTTCCCTGCCTTCTTTCAGTGTGGGCAAAGCTTTACCTATACTTCGGTGTTGGTGCATTTTATTAATGTTTTGTACAGATCCATCTTTTTAGAATTACAATCTCGGGAGTGTGTGGTGGAAATTACAATGGAAACTGTATTACCTCAATGTACCTCATAACTTATGCTTAAAGCAGCAAAAAGGAAAATAAGCCATTGGTTCAAGTTTGTTTGTCTTCGATAGGTATTGTATTGTATTGTATTTATATTTATACAGCGATGCAAAATTCAAATGCTTTACTGTAAACATACTATTCTAATTTTTAGAGCAATTAAGCTTCTTAATTGTTCTTATGGATGTCAAGTGTCTTAAGATTAAGGAAGTAAATGTGTCTAATTTTATTGATATTTCCTTGGAAATATTATAAATATAAATTCTTGATTATATTTTTTCAGATTATCCTAATTGGTGTCCTTAAACTTCAGGTCATTCTAAGATCCTGAACTTCTAAAATTCATTTTGCCTTACTGAATTTTGAGTTAGTTCCACTTAATTCTTTCATGTTAGAATTCTTAAAACAGACCAAAAAAGAAGATAGTGTGATGATATGGTTTTTCATTAGAACTTTGTTAAAAACAAATAAAAAAGACCACATTATCATATTGAAGAACCCTTTTGTCCATATTTAAGTTTAGGAACACCAATGAAATTAACCCTATTTTCTTTTATAACTTTAATCCTTGATATTTTTATTGATATTGATATTTCCATTCTTAACTTAAAAATTATGCCCTTGATTAAAAAAGAAAAAAAGAAAAAAAAAATTTGTATCCAGTGTACAAACTATAATCCTATCCTATAATCCTATAATTAACTATAATCAAAATATTTTTTCCATTCTTAACTATAATCCTATCCTGCCCAGAAGGAAGTCCTTGATTTTGGGCATGGCCAATATGTTGGCCTTAGCCGCTAAGCTGACTACCAACTGCAGTTTTGCTCAGAAAATCCATCAAATGATCTATCTAAAGCGGTCCAAAGAAGCCAATTTTTTTTATCAAATAACCAAATTGTCCCCATTGACTGGATCTCACCGTCCAATGTTACTCCTAACTACTGCACACAAAACTGTGAAAGGTTCTCTAAGTGGGAAAAAAAAAGTTGCCTGCTTTGAAACTTGAATATGTAGGAGTAAATCAAAAGTAATTCCAATGATAAAAGGAGAAGCAACATCATATACATTTGAAACCTCATTATGATACTTTAATGCAATGTGGGCACCAATTCTCTCTCTCTCTCTCTCTCTCTTCCAAACAGAGGAAACTCCAGTCTTCCAACTTTTTTCACAGAATTTGGTTGGCATACCTTAGCCTTTCCACTGTCTTCTTGTGTTGAATTTTGGGGTAATAGGGGACCCTACCAATTCCTTAATGGAAGGGCTAGCAAAATTTTATACATAACCCCGTAAAGTCATCCACATAGTCCCATACAATCAGCACCATTCAAAAGCATGATCAACCTCTTGACCAGACAATCACAGCCCTTGATCAAGAATCAAAAACAAAATTTAAACGAACTTTATAATATATATATAGAGAGAGAGAGAGACAACAAAGATAAATTCATGTGACCTTTTTATTGTAACACAAAAAAAAAGAAAAAAAAGAAATGCATATTGTCTTGAACTCCAAGGTTTCCAAGCCTTTTAAGTCCCTCTCAGGGAAAATGCCAAGATTTGGAATTTTCCCAGTTGGGGGTTGCTTAGATGGGTGTAGAGACCACACTCAAGGCTCAGGTTTTGGCACCAGAATTTGGAATTTGAGTGACAAGCCTGTGGAGCTCCAAATAAGGGTTGGATCAATACTAAAAAAGGTTCATACTCTTAAGCCTGGCTCCTCAAAGAGACTCAAATGCAAAAGCATATACAAAGCCTATATGCCTGGAGAGAATGGAAAGAGCTTGCTCTATTACTATGATGAAACTTGTCACCCTTATGTTTGGATAAACGACACCGGAGGCGATTCGTTGAGGATGGTTAAGCAGCAGTACATTAGCCTTGAGGACCTCAGGGATTTCTCCGAGATTCGAGTCTTTAGAGATCATCAACGCGGCTGCATATCTGTTCGGAAGAAGGCTAGGCCTGATGTTTGCTGAAGTGAGTTTTTTTTAAGCCTTGGAGTCTAATTGTAAGTTTGAATGTCACAGCTTGTTCTTGCGTCATTTTTGTTGTTACCCTTTGATCAGATTTTGCTGCTCTTTTTCCTGTGGTGTGTATTTGAAAGAATTCAGATTCTAAGGTAATGTTAAATACAACATATGTGCCAAAGAATTATGGTGGATTTGGTTTTCTTTTTGAGATACTTCATCTGTTTGGCCATTCAGAAAATGGAAGAAAGAAAAATGAAATAGTTTATGGATTATTAATTACAAAATTTACAATTATATTTAACTGAGTAATCCCTAGTTTGGTGAATAGTTTCTGTAATCCATTTGATTTCTTCAAAGGTACCATTGTATTACTTTTAGTTGTTATTTTTTGAGGTACAATCTTTGTTCAAAATTATCAAATAAATAAAGGAATTGCTAAGAGATATTATATGGTGAAAGAAAAAGAGTGCCTCTAGATTTGAGATTCTGACAGTCTCATAATAGAAGAGGGCATGATATGGCTCTATGAGATTGTGAGAAGTTAAACATAATTTTTGGTCATTTAGGAGTCATTATGGCAAATTAAATTGTGTTGCTTGAATGACAAGTTAGAGTAATGATGATGTTACATTGCAATTTGCAATTTGTTAATCATCTACCATTTTTTCTTTGGTGTTTGGGACCCCCTCAACTAATGGATATTCCACTTTTCAACTCCAAAATTTATTGGATGTGATGGGAAAAGAGAGATTGATGAAATCAATTTTTTCACCAACTGCTACATATTATAAACTATGATTTCAGACAGCCCAACAATGTGTTTAGTTTAGTGCCAATATTGGACCCTAAAAAATTACTCAATCACAACAATGGAGATGTATGAAACTATGGCAGTTAATGAAGATCAAATTTTGGTTCTTTTCATTTTTAAAAAATTTGGTTCAATTTTCACTTTACCGAAACTTAATCACGAATCTATGTTTAGACATGCCTTCAAAAATTGATGTCTAGAGTTAAATTCTCTATCCTAAAATTTAAAAAAAAAAATAGAAAAAGAAAAACTTGTGCCATGTTTGGAATTGTTCTTGTTTTTATTTTTCACGTTTTTTGATAAAGAAAAAAAAAATGATTCCAAAACGGTGTTTGACACAATTAGGGAATTGTTCTTGTTTTTATTTTTCACGTTTTTTGATAAAGAAAAAAAAATGATTCCAAAACGGTGTTTGACACAATTAGAGATAAAAAATAAAAATAAAAACGATTTTTTAATTTAGTGTAAAATAAGAGAGAAATAAAAAACGATTTTTAGTCTTTTTTTTGTGTTTTCTCTTCTCTCGAATAGAAAGAGAGAGACATTAATAAGTTTTTTTATACTAAAAATAATCTCTTAATAAAATTATTAAACGTATTTTTAAAAATAATTTCTGTATGAGATTAAAAAAGTTTTTATTCCTATTTTCATACAAAAAATAAAAGTACTTTAAAATGAATTCTAAATGCATTTTCAAAATGGATCTGGGAGGCATTCTCTCCATGAGGGTTAGAGTATTGGACCTGCAAGGTATTCTTTCTTTCTTTCTTTTTTGAACTTTTTTTTTTTTTTTTGCTTTAAAACTTTTGTTTTTATAGATAGGGGTAATGGCTAATGGGACCCAGATTTATCTTTTCTAAAAAAAATATGGGACCCAGATGCTAAATTCCCTATAAGATAAAAATTTGTGTTACCAAGAAAAACTATATAAAATTTGGCATGCAAGTAAATTATTCAGCAAAAAAGTAGTGATAAAAAATTGGTGTGCATGTGAGAGAATCATACTTAATGGATTTGTTAATCAACCAAATCTAATTGTAGTTGAAAACCCAATAGCTTTTACTTTTCTTTTTTACCCGTGTACATATAAGTTGAGTTTCTTTCTTTTTTTGTTTTTTTTTTTGTTTTTTTGAGGAATAAGTTTTTGAATATTTTCGAACATAAGTTAAATTTCGTTTGATTGCTAGTAAATATCAATCAATCCTCGTGAAGTTGCCTATACCTTATCTGATTGTTCTCTAGCGAGTAGAAGCATCCTTATAACGTTCAAAAGACAGAGCATTGCTGTCATCGGTCATCCAATGGTTAGCCTACTATTAAAAAACATAAATTTTGGCTTACGTGGCAATTTGGTAGCACTTCATACTACGGCCTCATTTTTTTCACGATTCAAGTTACAACTCAAGTTCAATTATTATAATTTTTTTTTTCATAAAAATTTAAATTCAATTTTTTATAACAGTATTTTTCTCTACATACACAACTCAAGTTCTTAATTTTGAGTTGTAAGACAAACGTACCTTAACTATATTTTCGTGTGACATATAAAGTGAGAAACGTAAAATGACAATTATTTAACATAATATGAATATTATTTAACTTGACTGTACAATTATTAACCACAAAAAAAAAAACTCTTAAAAGCCATTTAACATAACATGAATATTAAAAAGGCGTAACAATTCAATATAATAAAAACATTATAAATGAAATAATTATATGAGTAATTATTATAATTACCATAAATAATTATATAATGTCGATGAAAAAGTTATTTAGACATTGTTTATTTCACCAATTCGAGTTTTCAATTCCAATTTTGGTACAGTTAAAAACGCTCAATAAAAGTCACAATTAACTTTTTTATTACAGTGAAAAACTTTAACATAAAATCACATCTCAACTCGGATTGAAAACTCAAATCTGTGAATTAAACGGGACCTTAGTTTGATTGGATTCTTAACCTCACCAAATACAAACTGATGGGGTAGGGTCTCATAGGACTGAATAGAAGTGTTTTATTATGATTATCGATATTGTAATTACTAGAGAGCATTTCTACTCATTTTTATTAGAGATAAATTATCATTATTCATATTTAAGGTTTATTAAAGGCTTATTTAGTTCACTGATTTGAGTTGAGATGTGACTTTATATAAAAAAATTTTATTGTAATAAAAAATTTTATAAATTAAATGTGACTATTTTTAAATTTTTTTTACTGTAATAAAACTTAAATTTATGAAATTATCGAGACTAAAATAAATAGACATAATTTAACATGACATCCATTACGTGAGTAACGGGATTTATCCCATTTTCCTTACTAGAACATATGATAGTGACCATATGACGCAGCAAAGACTGAAAAGCAAAGCACATACGACAGCTTCTCGCGCACGCGACACGACAATGGTAGTTGGTAAGAAACCTCCAACCGTTTCCAACTTTCCACGTCTGATTTTGACATTAACAATTTTCTTTTCCTTTCTTTTTTGACAGTGGACATTTCCAAATTACATTCCACGCGGTTTAAAAATAAAAATAAAAATAAAAATAAAAAGTCAATGACTGACCCTCCTCTCTCTCTCTCTCTCTGTGTTTCTTTCTTTCTGTGTTTCTTTCTTTCCCTCTTTCAATCCCTCCTTCCATACCCACAAATAGAAACCGAACAAAACAAAAGCAAAAAAAAGTTTTAATTTTTTTTTTTACTCTCATATATCAAACAAAAAAGAAAAAAAGAAAAAAAAAAACCTAAATAATCTCTCAAATGGGAATTTCATGGAGCGGCAACCGGCGACGGAACAACTACTTCCAACACCCGCCGCCACTTGCTCCTCCTCAGCCGCCACCGCCGCCGAATCACTTCCGTTCCTCGTACTACTTGGACCATCACCATCCACCTCCTCCGCCGCCGCCGCCGACAAACAACAACTACGTCTTCGCAACTCCCACCACTTCTTCTTCTTCTTCTTCTTCTTCTTCTTCCTCGTACCCAAACCCTTCTCCTCCGGTGAGCCAGCCCCAGTACTATTCCGCTCCCTACGGTGCGTGCAATCACCCCAATTCCATGGTGGGTCATGGTCGGTACAGTTACAATTACAGTTACCACAACCAGCCTTACCACGCTAACCAGGCCCACGCCGCCTGGTGGGCCCCGCCGCCGACGATTCGCCCTCCGGTGGGCCCTCCTCCGCCGCCGCCGCCGCCGTTCGTGGAGCACCAGAACGCCAAGAAGGTGAGGAACGACGTCAATGTCCACAAGGACACGTTCAGGCTCGAGGTCGATGAGCAGAACCCTGATCACCTCTTGGTCTCCTTCGTTTTTGACGCCATGTTTGATGGCAGGTAGGTTATTCAAGTTCTTTCTTTTTTATTTATTTATTTATTGGACTTAGTTTTTGTTTTTAGATATGGTTAAATGGTTTTGTTTGATGTGTTGGAATTGGGTTTTGATTCCTTTATTTGGATGATGGAAAGTGAAAAGTTTGGGCAGGAAGTGGGAAATGTAGTTTGAGCGTTTGACTATTATAGATTTAAATGTGATTGTTAATTTTGGTTTTGTTTGATGTTTGGGAATTGGGTTTTGATTCCTTTATTTGGATGCTGAAAAGTGAGAAATTTGGGCAAGAAATGGGAAATGTAGTTCGGGTGTTTGGCGATTTTAATGTGATTGTTGATTAGTAATTAAGAGAAGAAAAAGCTTCGACCTTGGAAGGTTTAATTCTACAATTATGGTATTGAGATGAAATATAAGTAGTTGGCATTAGGTGAAATTTAGTGCATAAACTGAAAACTTGGAAAAGGTGTGTTCCAAAATGCTGGTTTGCATAATTGTGATATTTTTCTGGTAAATGGGTATTTTAATACTCTTGAGTCTGGAATATTATTTGTCATTTTATGTCAATATTTGAGTGTCTGGAAATCGATTGGGCTAAACAAAATTGAGTTTATGCATTTTACTTACTTTTTTGTCTTTCCTGTGATCTGGAGATTGTGATGTCAGGATGAGTTGTTATTCTTGTTGTTCATTTATGAGCTTGATTGTTCGTTGATAATGAAGTAATTTTGAATATTCATGTTAGTTTTCAACTAGTGGATGACACCTTTGTGAACTCTTTTTCTTTTGATTAGTAGGTTTTTGCTTGTAAACTCATTCAAGTAGGTTGGAAGTACAAAGCTGCTGGTTGAAACTCAGAATGAGTCGACTGTTGTGCGTCTACCTTTCAGAGTCTATGCTAATATAAAAGTTGGAGATAGAATTTATCTTAGAAGAGTTTTACCTAAAATTTTGGTTTTGAAGATTTTTTTTTCGCC